CCCATTTTTTAAGTGGAAGTTGATTGGAGTTAACATTTATTAGATTTAAGTTGTACATTTACATGTATGCTTCATTCATTTCTTGTTTTAGAGTTGAAACTAATTAAACTGATTGTAAAAAAAAATGCTGAAGGATTGTTCATGGCATTGCAACCCAAATTAATCGCTTGCGGAAATTCCACGGCAACATTCGCAATGGCGGTGAGGTTTTTCACAGGACCAGCCGTGATGGCTGTTGCATCCATGGCTATTGGATTACGCGGAGATCTATTACGCGTGGCCATAGTTCAAGTAAATATATATCTATTCCATGTTGTTAAAACAATCTTTGCTAATATTCATTATGCTAAACTACTTAACGAATCTTGTTCTACCGTTTTATAGGCTGCGTTACCTCAAGGAATCGTACCATTTGTGTTTGCAAAGGAATACAATGTTCATCCCGCAATCTTGAGTACCGGGTTAGTATTTTATATTCGTTCAAAGAGTAAATCTTTTTGTCCATAAAATAAGATTACTAGTACAGTATTTGCTTTTTTAATCTTGTTGTTGACTGATATTGCAGGGTAATATTTGGAATGCTTATCGCACTACCCATCACGCTTGTTTACTACATTCTGCTCGGGTTATAAGCTCCAAGATTAGTGGAACAAAACTAGAGGATGTAATGTAACACAAGAGGTTTAGTAAATTTAGGGATCAAGATTTGATTTGAAGATCCAAAAGCCTTTCTCTTGTCTATATTTTTGTAGAGATCATTTGAGAAAGAAAGGGGTGACACAATGAGAGAGACAAGAGGAGCAAAACAAGGGCAACATGACAAAAAGCAATCAACACAAGAAAAAGATTTTGCAATTTTTTCCTTTCGATGTGTTTTGAATTAGGTAGGTATTGGGCTGGTGTTAAAACGTCTCAATTTCTTTGTTACTATGTAGCTTTTATTTTGGCGGAAAGTGTATTTTTCTCCTTATTTATCTCGTATACAGTGTTCTCACAAAAGTAAAGATTTTTTTTTTACCATATATAATCAATTTTTAATAAATAATAAAGAGTGATCCAGATTTTGATTACGTGACTAATTTTTCAATTATGAGTTTAGTGGTAGAGTAAGTCATCCACCGAATTTTCTAATAAAAAAAACATATCATCATTTTAACTATATCCAAATAAAAGAGGTTAGATAATAGGGAGAATTGCAAAAATACCACAAATGGGCTCACACTTTACAAGTTTGCCACCTATACATGCGTTTTTGCAATTTTGCCACATCTTTGTCAAAAACTGACAACTTTGCCCCTGTCACAAAAACAAAATCTCTAGAACCCTAAAATATATCATCTCTCTCGTCAGTCACTCTCGACGACACCGAAATCCCACTGACATCAGAATCATGATTCGTTGTCTAATTTAATCGTAAGGACCTTGATTCGTCTCTTTTTCAAGGTTTTGTTTCGGTTTCTATGCCCAAATTTGCAATTTTCGACTCCAGATCTCTGGTTTTCAGCGATGTTATGCTTTCTCTTGATGCGAGATTTTGCGCTTATGCAACAGAGTGTTGCGGATCCTCCGGTGAAGCTTCAACGAGGCGGTCAGTGCGGTGGGTATTGTTGACGGATAACAGTCGGATTTGGAGCAAGCGATGAAGATGGTTAAATCCTGTATGGCTGCTGCGATGAACACGAGAGATCAGTTACAGTTTTAGACGGTGAGGAAAGGGGTGGAGATTCTTACTTTGTCGCAAGTGATTCGGTAGTGATGTAGATTTGGGTTCTGGATTTTTGTTTATTTTGCTTTTAAGGTTTCCGTTAAATCATGAATTGAGATTCTAGATCTATGTTTAAGTTGAGATTCTATATTTGCTAAAGTAGATTTTGAATTAAACATGTGAGGAAGAAAAAATTGATGGTGATAAAGAAGACACTCCGTCATAGTCGTGTTCTCTGGTGCGGATTCGCATTTGGTGGTGTAGTTGATTGTATCTTTGATATGAATCAATTGTAAGAAAGAGGCGGTGATGGCTTGTGAGTGGTGGTAATGATTTTTTGTGTGGTGGCTCTTGGGGATATATAAGGAGATTGTAAAGCGGAAATAAAAGCAGAAGATGGTGGGAACACAAGAGAAGGTGAATTGAAAGGAGAGTTTTTGATACTTGGAGATAAATCTGAAGCATTGTTTGTTTCAACAAGATCTTTACCTTTCTTACTTGAAGAGCTTGCTTTAAAAAACCTAATAAACCCTTGTTCTTGTTCAGCTTCATCTTCATCTTCGCAAATGGGTACAAAACAGAGCAGAAATTGACTTCTTTGGGGAGATCTCTGGAATATCTTTCAGTCCCGACACAGAGGCACTCTTCATTGGGGGGTATGGGACCGCACTTATGGTAGCCTCCTGGAGTATGATCGGCGCAGAAACTACTCCTACCTTGATTCGTTTCTTTAGCAAGTCGACAGTATACACAACCCTGTCCGAGGAATAAAAAAAGAGAGCTCATACAGCAACCGGTGAACACGACAGAAGCAAAGCATTGATAAAAAATGGATCTCTTAAAAGGTGTAAATGATGTGTTGTGCAAATGCTATATAGTAGTTAGTGTTTTTTGTTTCCTTTTCCGGTTGCCGGTTGGTGTGTTGTTGTGACTGTGTGAGTTGTTTTTTGGTTTTTTCCTCGTATATTGTGGTTGTTATAGAAATTTCAAGCAGTAGAAAATTCTAAAACGATACATATCAGAAGAGTGTCAAATTCAATTTTATAAAGTATTTTTAAGGTTTTTTTACCACTTATAAAGTATTTTTAAGGTTTTTTTACACCTTATAAGGTTTGTTCAAAATGTATAAATAATCTGCCTCTCAAAACC